CCATCTCCATCTTCCTATTAAAACTTTCCTCCCGGGTTGTCTAATAGGGAAGGCTTTCCCTGTAATTAATCTGTGTTCAGTCAAGTTGGTCCGACCTATGTCATCTGAGGACTTAGAAAAGACGTCTTGGTATTCTCTCCAATAGGTCAGCAAGTTATTCAGGCACCGTTGTGTCACTTCCATTGATAGGATCATCGTGCACTGCTCGGGTACATGCAGGCATCTCATTGGTTAAATCAGTAAAGGAAGTACAAATGCCCAATGGTTGATTAGCATACAGGGTTATTGGGTCAGTAGTGGTATTATGGACACATTATATGGTAACATTGTTTCTATTCAAATTGACAACTCCTGGAAGAATGATTATCCCATTCATATCAGATGTAGGCTCCACTAGACCTGACTCAGATAGATGTTCTGCACCTGGTATTCTAACTGGTATATATGAGCCTGAATTCGGAGGAATTGTAACTGTCTCTTCATCACGACCGTGCACTTCATGTTTTCCTTTCCACCTACCCAGCACTGAATTTCCTCTTGCTCATTTGTTAATAAGACTAGTCGTTGATAGTTAATCTTCTGGACATTATCCAAAAGAAAATCTTGTCCTAATATCCCATCTTGACAAATGTCACAGACAATGAATGATTGCTGGTAAACCGAGCTTCCAGATTTGATTGGCAAACAAAGAGATCCAAATGTAGAGATTTTTCTTCCACTGACATCTGAAATATTTATTGCTAAAGGCTCCAGGGCTTGTTCTGGCATAAATTTATCAAAAATGGCCTTAGAAATAATCGAAACAGTTGACCCACTGTCAATGAGAAAATTTATTTCAGAGTCTAGTAATTCTGCTTTTGTGTAAAAACCATTATCCCATCTTTCATTTACTTCCCCTATGTAGCCTCCCCTAGTATCCAAATCGGTCTTAGGCGTTTCCACCTCCGCCGGCTCCTGGCCTACTGAGTCAGCGGACGGGAGTTTCCCTAGCTTGTTTTAGTTCTGGTGTTGTTAAATGAAGGTCTCTGTGATCTCTGGTGCTGATATCTCTGGGGGCACATGTTCATAAAGTGGTCTGGAGAACTACAGATGAAGCAATTTTTGTGTTGAGGGTATCGTTGAAATTCCTGTGTCTGTTATTTTCATTGTTTTCCAAATGGTCAAGTCTTGACATAAGTTCTTGTAGTGTTGAGTTCAACTAGTCAGGCTTTGTTGAAGTTTCAGTCCCTAGTTCGTTAGCAGGACACTTTGGTTTGGAATTGGTGTCTGCAATGCGTACCTCAGATTTCTGTTTGATTTCATCTGTGCCAAGAATAGATTCATATCTCTCTATCACATCAACGGCCTCAGCAACAGTCTTACAGTCCTTGTCTATACATCTACATTTTATTTCAAGCGGAATGACCTTGTATTGCTTATTCAGGGCCAGTGCCTCTTGGGCAAGTGCATCAAGATTACGGTACGCTCTTTGTGCCATCTGGCGAATATCATCACCAAGGACAGCAATAGGCTCACCTGGTAGCCGCTTCCTCAGCTCTAGCCTGGACAGCCATCTATTTTGATTTCTACTACTTCCGAATCTCTGATTTAATTTACCACTTAGGGACTGGAAAGATTCTTTGTCTTCAGCAGATAGACTCATGTAGTAGGTTCTAGCTTGGTCACTGAGACTAGCAGCAAGGAAAAGAAGTTTTGTTCTATCAGACCACCTACCTAATTCTGCACAATCCTGGAAATATATTCGTCCCAATCCTCCTTACCATTATAAGGTTCAGGTTTTATTACAAGGGACATACCATGCTGGGAAAAGTCAGCTATTGGGTTACCTAGCTGACGTCTTAGGAGAGGATTTCTATCAAAGTCTGGTGTCATTGGCGTTCGGAACATTTCAGGGGGTATATTTGGAACAGGTGAATGATTGGGTCCTTCTAGCCTAACCTGCTTGAGAGAAGGGGGTAGGTCACCTTGACCTGCCTCATTGTGAATATTAAACTGTATTTCTGGGTCAGGGGAGGTATAAAAGGACTCTGCCATGGTCTACTTGTGTAGGAATGGCTGTAAATGAAATTTTAAAAATAAATTATTTCATTTTTTCAGTAAACTTGTACATTAAAATATACACACAATATATACACTATATACAACAAAAACCAACACACTGAACAGCTGAGGAATTAAGGAATGGGCCCGTATCACAGGGTGGTACAAAAGTTTTAGCATCCCACTTCTGATACCAAAAATTGTAAGCTCCCTGGGAATGGCCAAGCTTTAGTTTGGGGACGATACAAAATAATAACGGGTCCCTTAGTAATAGGGAAAACAGGTACAATTCTACGGAAGCCGGTTGGTGCCAGGTAGAAAAATATTTTATCTGGCGGCCGCCAGATAAATAACTGATAACTGGCGGCCGCCAGATAATTATTTGGTGGCCGCCAGAAACTTATTTGGCGGCCGCCAGATAAAATATTTTTCTACCTGGCACCTACCGGCTTCCGTACAATTCATATTGGTGGCGTCTACCGTACAGGCTACTATTATTTAAAAAAAAAGGGGGGGGGGTATAATGGCTATAGTAGGATGATCTCCAGAGTTGGGGGGGGTATAATGGCTATAGTAGGATGATCTCCAGAGTTAATTATAATTAAATAGGTGTCCAGTGTGTTGGGAGATAATTGTCGAACATTTTCTCACCTGGAAACACAATAGTATGGCTATGGTGAAAATATGGGCGGATCTTGGATCTCTACTTTGAATTTACGCACCTGACAACTCGCCATATTATCTGTTGATATAATGCGATCGCCCCCTATATATAACCTTCGGAAAAGGGTCACATGACAGGATTCAACCAATACAAATGCTGTTCCACCAATCACGACAATGTACGACATCGTACAAAATAAAAATCGTGTCGTACTGTCAAACAAAGTTGTCGTACAATATGGATTATAAACAAACCCAGGAATTAAGAAGTGAAAAGACCAAATAATCAATAAATATGGATTACAAAAGATGTGTCTATAATAAGTAAGTAAACAAAATTATCTCTGAAACTAATAAATTTCACAGAAGTAAACTTGCTGAGTATGCAGACGATATCGCGGATGGATAAAAATATAGTACAAGTTTTAGACACATGTAAAAGGGGAATAACAATTACTAAAATGAATATTAGAAATCACAATAACAATTAACATGATTAATAGCAAGTAATTATGCCTGTGATGTAACATGAATAAAATGAGGTTAAATACGAAACTAATCTACTTGGCATGCACCGATAAAGATGGCAGACAGGATGTAAACAAGTTGCATGGCAGCAGATGATTTAAAGTGTTGTAGCTAATCTACACATGTAGAATTGCTAAGATAATGACAGTTAACTCAAGAAATACTTGCAGATTTAAAATGAAGGGTAACTAACTCATGGTATGTAAAAATAAATGCAAACTTTAACATTCCTGACCAATTTTGGCACAACGTTTTGACACACATGAAATAATATTACAAATAAAGTCCACCCGCCCTACTATTATTACACAGTAAACCATAGTGAAATTTTAAACATCTGACAGGTCCTTACAATACAAATGGAGAATTATAGAATAAAAATAACAAATTTACAATACAAATGCAAAGATTATAGAATACAAATGGAAAAAATAATACAAATGGAAAAAATAATACAAATGGAAAAGTATAGGATACAAATAGAAGATCATACAATGCAAATGGAAAAGATCGAACATTGCAACGTTTGACATGCCATAAAAATAGGCGAAAATCCTTTATAACATATATGCGAGATTTTGGCGTAGTCAAATTCAACGTAAAAAAAAATGACGCAATATAAAAATTTCTCTAATTTTCTTGTGTTAGTATATTTATAGATTCAAAATGTAACACATATTATGAAACACTCTGTACCTTGAGTCGTAAGAATGGCTTAACTTTCTAAGATTTCCTTTCGTCATGATAATATAACGCTTTTTAAAAATCTTAATACGACTTATCTTGTTTATTATTACTTCTTATGTTCAAATATCGTTTTAGTTTTGTTTTTTATTTTCCAAATTTAACCTTACTGTACTAGCCTTTTGTATGAAAAGGTCTTCCTTTTATGTAATATTTTTTCCTATAAGTAATTCAGCTGTACTTAATTATTAAACATTATTTTACAATTTCTTATTTTTCGCATAACATACTCGGGGATGAAGTATGCAATTCAAGAACAGTTTTCAAAATGTCTATGGTATGTTTTATTTATTGAAGCAAACAAGTTTGAGCTGGGAAACACGAGGGCAAGCACATTCAGATCTTTAAAGCTGAGTTTCTTGTTTTCCTGTTAGATATCAATGGCTTTAAATGGCAAGGAGGGGAGTTAATAAATGCGTTAATCCTCTTATGTACTACATACAGAGATCAGTACCGACTTGTTCGTAAAATCAGTTTATTTTCGGTGTGTTAAAACTGAGTTTTTATATTAAATGGAATTTCAATCTACTAGTCGGACACATTTATGTAAGTACTTCATATTTTAGGAGCAGCGTACGTATACAAACTTCAAACTACAGTCGCTTTTAACCTTGGTTCATTTTTTGCTTACTGAAATTTATGATTGATTCCTGACTCATACCACTCCTCACATCTCGAAATGTTTTCTGATAAACATGTTTTACTTTCATACTTTCAAATTATCTGCATGACATACTATCCATGGTTAAATATGCATGGAAAGAATTTTAAAGAAGTTCTGCATCCCATCTGGTCATAAGCAATGTTGATAATACTAAATCCTTTAAACAAACACTTTGAGGAGTTTTATCAGAGAAAGACGAAGTATTGTTGCATTTTGGAAACATGGATATTTATCTTTCTGAAGTCTGATTTTCAATTCAGAAAAAAAATGTTAGATTGATTCAGTGTACAGAAGATTGGACTATTTAACCTGCCTTCTCTTATTTTTTTCAGAACAGAGTATATCAAAATACCTGTGAATGTATCATCATGCAACAGGACATCATCATAACCCTTTCTGTGTGTGCAGTTATTATCACCGCTGTTTTCTTCGAGTACAGAATGCAGCAGTTGGAGGAAAAGTGTAAAGAGATAGAAACAAGATTTCAGGTACATCAAAAATCGGGCAAAAGAGATAATACAGTGGACAGTGAACGTGAAACCGACGATGAAAAAATTGGAAAAGTAGAGGCAACTTTAAAACGACATAATGCTGGGGACTTAATGGAAGACGGTAGGTACATGTACACAGTTCCCATGGAGGTTGCGTAGGAAATTGTTATACCCACTTCAGACCTGAAAAAGGGGGGTCTTTTTGTTTTTCACCTGTCAGTAGCTTAGACTAAATGATGTCTTATAAATTTCTTGAAAACTCTTTGTTTGACTGACATCAAACTTGGTACACTCGTATATTGTCACGCACATTTCTTGATCCTGAGAGTTTTCCTTTTATCTTGCAAATGGGTTTAAGTATTCTGATGGATTTTTTTCTTCAGAATTTGATAATAATGAATGGATTATTTTTCAGAAATAAAGGAGTTGTCTGCCCAGAGAGCTGTAGCTTTTTCGGCCGCATTAGGGTCTCCAATGGAAGACAACGAAACTGTGTCTGAAATCGTAATTTACAATATCGTTGAAATCAACATTGGTGAAGCTTATGACCCCACCACTGGGATATTCATGGTACCCGAATCTGGTGTGTACGCTTTCAGTTGGACAAGTGTAACTATTCCGGGAAAGTGGTACGAAACCGAGATGAATATTAATGGTCTTCAGAAGAGACTTAATAGTTGTAATAATAAAGGAGAGACAGCATCATCTAATCTTTCTTGCACCTCCATGGTGATTGCCGAGGTGAAGAAAGGAGATATAGTTTGGATCGCTAAGTTTGGACAAGAAGGCGATTATTTGATGGAAATGTATTCGTCCTTTTCGGGTTGGAAAATAGGCGAAATTTCTAAAAGTGACGTTGACTCTAGCTGATAATTTTTATTTCAATAATTCAAATAACGAGTTTAACAATTAAAAACTTAAAAATGCATTAACTCTCTTGTATAATTTCACATGTACCTTTATCTAAAAACAACTTCCAACATCACCCACTGTTTACTGATAAGATGCATGAATGGATCTCAAATATTTATGCCCCCAACAATGAATGACCGAAGCATATCTATATTAAGTGTTACCCATTTCCGTCCGTTTGTAACTAATTGTAATTACTTTGTCGTTTTTTGTTTTGTTTTAGTTTTTTTTTTTTTTTTTTGGGGGGGGGGGTTGTTTTTGTTTGTTTTTTTTTTTTTTGCTGTGCTTGTAGATAATGAGGTGATCTTTGGTATGTGTCTAATTATTAAAAATTTCCAGGTAAGTTTGGAGTTTCTTGATGATTGACCTATTTTTAGCCCTTCGGATCCGAGATCAGCATAAGGTGTCAGTCCGTTTGTCTGTAAATTTTTCAACACGAAAAATGTGCGATGGTAAGGTGCCCGTCGTCCGTCTATCTGTCAGTCTTTAAACAATTTTTCAAAATGCTACTCCTACAGTTTTGCTCCAATTTCAGTAAGGCTTATACATAGGTACCTTATACATTACGTTTTTCTATACATCTGTTTTTTTTTCATTTCGCCAAACGGTGTTGGAAATGGAATATTCTGTGAAAGTTTTTCAAAATGCTACTCCTTTTACAGTTTTGGTCCAAATTCAAAAAGACTAGGTACTCAAGTACACTCTACTAAGATACAAAATCTGTTTATCGTTTTTACCTCTACTGGTCAGAGACCAGAGGAGCTTATGCGATAGTAAGGTGCCCGTCGTCCGTCCGTCTGTCTATCTGTCCGTCCGTCTGTAAACAATTTTTCAAAATGCTACTCCTCCTATAGTTTTGGTCTGATTTCAGTATAACTTGGCACACAAGTAGACTACACTAAGATACATAATTCTGTGTATCGGATTTTGATTTCAATGAACGGCGTTGCCATGGTTACTAAAAATAGAGATTTCTTGGAAATGCTTTCAAAATGCCACTCCTCCTACAGTTTTGGTCTGATTTCAGTATAACTTGGTACACAAGTAGACTACACTAAGATACATAATTCTGTATATCAATTTTTGATTTCAATGAACAGTGTTGCCATGGTTACTAAAAATAGAGATATTCTGGAAATACTTTCAAAACACTACTCCTCCTACAGTGTTGATCTGATATCAGTATAACTTGGCACACAATTAGACTATACTAAGATTCATAATTCTATGAATCGGTTTTTGATTTCAATAGACGGTGTTGCTATGGTTACTAAAAATAGAAATTTCTGTGAAAAACTTTCAAAACGCTACTCCTCGTACAGATTTGATCTGATTTCAATATAACTTGGCACACAGTTAGACTATACTAAGATACATAATTCTGTGTATCGGATTTAGATTTCGATGAACGGCGTTGCCATGGTTACTAAAAGTAGAAATTTCTGTGAAATACATTCAAAACGCTACTCCTCCTACAGTTTTGGTCCAATTTCAGTATAACGTGGCACACAAGTAGACTACTCTAAGATACATAATTCTGTGCATCAATTTTTGATTTCAATGAACAGTGTTGCCATGGTTACTAAAAATAGAGATTTCTTGGAAATACTTTTAAAACGCTACTCCTCCTACAGTGTTGATCTGATTTCAATATAACTTGGCACACAAGTAGACTACACTAGGATACTTAATTCTATTTATCCGTTTTTGATTTTGGTGAACAGTGTTGCCATGGTTACTAAAAATAGAAATTTCCTTGAAATACTTACAAACGCTACTCCTCCTACACTTTTTGTCTGATTTCAGTATAACTTGGCATACAAGTAGACTACACTGAGATACATAATTGTCATTATTGTTTTTTGATTTTGTTGAATGACTTAAATCGAAATTTCTGTATAATTATTTAAAAGGCTACTCCTCCTACAGTTTTAGTCTGATTGCAATAAATCTTGCCACAAAAAGACTAAACCAAGGATCATTATTCTATTTATTGCTGTTGCAAAGTTTCAAGTCCGAGTGCTACTTTTATCTTCCTTTATAAGTACAACCAGCAGAGCTACAGTCTCGTCAGAGACTTCTGGTTTAATTTCATCAAACGGTGTTGCCATGTTATAAAAATAAGTATTTATGTGATATTATCTAAAAACTCTACACCTTTAACAGCTTTGGTCCGATTTCTGTAAGTCTTGGTACACAAGTACACTATATTTAGATACGTAATAATTCTATTTATCGTTTTTTTATTTTGTAAAATGGTGTTGCCATGGTTTCTAAAATAGAAATACATGTATATTTGAAATTCTAGCTAAACACTACTCTTCTTATAGTTTTGGTTCAATCTCAATAAGACTTGATACACAAGTAGAGTATACTTAAATGCGGAATTCTTTTTAGTGGTTTTTGTTTTTGACAAACGGCTGTTGCCAAGGTTTCTAAAAATTGAAATTTCTGTGAAATTCTTTCAAAATGCTATTCCTCATACAGTTTAGTCAGATTTCATTAAGACTTAGTACATGTACACAAGTAGACTATTCTAAGCTACATTAAGTACACACCAGAAGAGCTACAGCTCGTCAAAGACTTCTGGTTGCGAAAGTTATGGCCCTTAGACTTTGAACATTTCTAATAATTCAATTTTTTCCAGACTTTTTTCGCTATGTTTGTAGATAATGAGTTGATTGCTGATTTTTTGCATTTGTCTTAATATTGATGACATATAGATAAGTTCAATTTTCTTGCTGAATGACCTAATTTTACGAAAGTTATCCGGATTTTCTTTTAACTACACGTATGCTAGTAGAAAAGGAGTTGATTTTTTGGTATGTCTCTTGATATTGATTACTTTCAGATCACGTTTAAGTTTTGTACATTTTAACGTATTTTTACAAAAGTTATGACCCTAAGACTTTGAAAACTTAATAATTAACGGTTTTCTGTTTTTATTTATATATTTTATTTCATTGGGGGGGGGGGGGGGCTGTACCTTTAGAAATATCACTTACAGATCGAGTTCAAGTTTCGTAATTATTGACCAATTTTTACCAAAGTTACTTAGGCTTTGAAAATATGTTATTTTCCTTTCGTTTGGTCTTTTTAAAATTTGTTTTGCTTCTACATAAAGATCTTTGGGTTGTCTCTTTATATTGAAGACTTACAGAGAAAATATGAGTTTCGTATTCATTTACCCATTTCTACACAAAAAGATGGCCTTTCGAATGTGAAAATTTCTTATTCACTGCTTTTGGGCCTTTTTATTGCTTTGCTTGTAATTAATCAACATTTCACACATCTTAAGTCTGTTTCGGTATAGACAATATTGATTGCAGAAAACAAAAGCAGCAATGTAATATTTTGTTATAATACCTTTAAAGATTTGTTACTACAGGGTGTTTCAGCAAACATGTCTCGACTTTGCTGTTTCGGAAAAAAAGTTGTGCAGTATTTATGAAAAGATTTTTTTTTTTTTTTTTTTTTTGCAAAAACGTGAAGAACATAAATATATAATTTTATCAATATGAAGGTTTAAATAAATCATTTAATCTGAAAACATCCATTTTTAAAACATGGACATCAGATCGAGACAGTTTTTGATTTTAGGTTATTTCATAACACTCCAAAATGGGTGCAATGTTTCTCAGTCACCAGAATCATTTATTTTCTAAAGTTCAACACTGCCCATAATGCTCAAATTTTGGAAGGGGGGATCCTATTCACTATTTGCAGCTTTCCGTTTGCATAGTACAGTTTAATAATGTCAATAAAGAGATCTCTTTCTATCATTCATTTATTTTAAAAAAAAAAAAAAACTTCACTACCTGACTTTAGATGATGCCATTAAAACTTTTAAAAGACAGTTATCATCTAGTAGTGAATTTTGTTTATTCGGTTATCAATCATATTGCCTGAAAACCTACTATGAAATGTAGTTGTTCTTTTGTAAATATTTTATCTTTGTGCACAAATATAGACATAGAAAGTCGGGACATGTTTGCTGAAACACCCTGTATATAAATCTATGCAAAAAAAGTCTAATATTTCCAATGCTCTACTGAGATGAGATATTGGACCGCTTACGTCACACTGGGATCGGCTCAATCTTAGTTGCATTCGTTAGTGTTCGACTGTGACAGAATTGACCGAGTTTTACCGTAGTGCGGGTAAGGAAAATTTACATCATGGAAGCTAACACAGGATCAAATACATTTATGTCAAAAAAAAATTAATAAATAAAATGTTTAACAAAACATTTATTGAACGTGTTCTTGGGCATAATATACATTTACTGACTGGGTTCGAGGGCAACATGCGTTTTGTCGGACCCAAGAACCAAACTTTTTGCCTGAGGCCGTTAGGCGGAAGACAAACACAGTTTGGTTCGAAGGGTCGACAAAACGCATTTTGCCCGAGAGCTCTGTCAATAAATGTTGTTATGCCTTTTATTTTTTTATTATTTTATTTTTTGCTGGCTTCCATACCAACGAATGCAAATAAGATTTTGTTGATCCCGCCCACAGTGTGACGTAAGCAGTCCAATATCTCGTCCACAGATCCAATACCTCACTCTGCGGTCAAACGTCGATTTTTTTATGACCGCTCAGTAAAACATCAGAAATGTTAGACTTTTTAAAGTATAGATTTATAAAGGAACTAATTTTAAAGGTATAACAATGCGTTTTGTCGACCCCTTAAACCCGTTAGGCCTCAGGCAAACAGTTTGGTTCGAGGGGTGGACAAAATGCATGTTGCTCTCGAACCCAGTGGCAGTCAATAAATGTATATCACTTTTGTCATGTTTATGCAATTTCCACTTATTATTTACACATGCTTAGACTTTCACATATTTAAAACCTGTATGTCAGCGGCGGGGGCATTCGTGTCACACTGACACATCTAGTTTTAAACTATAGTTCTGTTTACTTGCAATTGTAAGTTACGTGTATTCACTTCTACATGTACATACATGTAACAAGAAAAGTAGTATGCAGGCCTTCTCATTGAACTGCTTG